CGGAAAAAGTAAACACAAAACTGAAAAGGGGGATAATTAAAATTAATAGCCTTGATCTTCAGCGTAATTATAGGGCAAACTGGATTGTACTTAAAAACAAATTATCCAGTTTGCCCTATAATTACGCTTTTGCTATGTGTGCCAGGGCGCACGGTAGTAGCACTGTACTCAAGTGGGCTAGTTCTGAAGGCATTAAATGCACTTAGCCACTTACTCGGGTACAACAAAGTGATTGGCAAGAAACACATCAACGTTAAAAAACATATGCTTCACACGATCACTTGGATAAAACATTGAAGGTTTAAAAATATCATTTAAGTGGGGGGATAATATACCTTCTCAAGCGTGCCTTGTGAAACAAGTCTCCTTAGCTTTGAAATCAGTGACCTTCTGAAGCCTTGTGGCACCTCGTACTTTCTCTGTTCCCAGTAGCAAAAAGGAAACCCCCAAAAAAACAATGAATAGTCAAGACTTACATATTGAGTGTAGTAACTGGAGAATTAAGCAACCAGGAGCTCTAAAATTTATTAAACCGTGCTGCTTATAGCCTGGGCGGACCCAGAAAAATCCAATGGGGAGCTCTAAATTCTTTAAAACGTTCTGCTTAAAGCCTGGGCAGACCCAGAAAAATTTAATTGGGGGAGATGGGACTATAATTTTCAATAACACCATAAACTTACTGTAATAGGAAAAATATGTACTTCCAAACTTCGGTACAAGTAGAGTAAGCCACGGAAATTAAAAACAAAAAGAAGCAAAACAAAAATATGCGGGTCCTGGTTTTCTCTCAGCACATATGATATATTTCAGCTTTATGAAATTACATAATGGAGTGCTCTTGTATATCAAATTTACCTCTCGTATATCGAAGAAGAGAAATAAAAAAATAAATCATATTCAAGAGTATGTACAGAGGACTTACAAGATTTAATATTGTAATTAAAAATAATTAGTAGATAGTCTAATACAAGGAGGCAGGATCGAGTTGTCTAGATTTTTCTCTTCATAATTCTTACAATTCCCTATTTTTGAGTACAAATGTTTAAGTGTCAACCTTTGACTCTGTTTTCAATTGAGGGCCTATGTAAATTGAATATATTTTTACATACATAATGAAAATGAAAACAAGTTGAGGGGACAATGGCATCGGCTACCCAGCATTTAGATCCGCCCATGATGGTCAGAACTCAGTTTCAACTGAACAAATCATTAAAGTGAATCTATACCACCAAACAAGTCAACAAATATGCAAGCCATTTATATGGTTGTTCTCGTGCACCTTAATGATTTTTTAGTGATGTTACACAATTGAACTGGAAAAGGAGAACCTCAATAAACCCGAGGATTGCACCAAAATCAGATCCCCTTCCATCCTTGAAGGTTGAAATTGCTTCAAGAATCATACTATTGAGTCTGCAAGACAACATCAAAGTGTCAATTCCCTTACAAAAGCAAAGATAGAGGCTTAGAGGTCATCAAATCTGTGAAACCCACCATAACATACTAAAGCAAAGCAACAATATTAAAAGCTTAAGCATATAAGGCAGACGAAAATCGAAAATAGATAAAATGGTTATCTGAGCTGGCTCACAAGAATAAATTCAAACAATAAAGGTGTATTACATAAGTCGTTAGTTGAGATTATCAAGAAAAAGTAAAAAAAAAAAAATTGTTTAAAATAACTTCTAAAAATTAGAAATTCCGGCACTGCAAACTCCCTGTTTGCGGATGGAAGTAGTCATAATTCTAATAGATGGTGGGAGTTTCACTGTAACTAGACTTAACCTTCCACATAGATTTTTTGTAATCTACCGATAACATAAATTCATCTAAGCTAGAGTAGCCAATCCACACCGATTTCGCGACCAATGGGCAAATCTTTAGCAGTACAACTCAATTAGTTTCAGTAAACTGCATGAGGACACTGGAACTATAAACACACAGCACATACTTTGGTGCATCGTTAACTTCCTGTGGGCTTAGGGGAGACTTGCCATTGGAATTGTCTTTGGAGCCGCAAGCATGAGGTGACATTTTAGTTTGAAGCTCTTGCATACTTGTGGCAGTTGCTCTTCCATTTTTAGGAGTAATAACATTTGAATCTTGTCCATGGTTTGCACCAATGTTCCGCCACTTGTCCTGAGATAAAGCGGCAAACAGACCAAACTGTTTACTATTTTCACCAAGGTTGTTGTTTGCCATTTTTACCAAATCAATTGGACAAACCCCATGGTTAATGCCTTTCACATTCAATTAAAATACATAGATTACATAAGAATTTGCAGATACTAAAGCCAAGATTTAATTTTGAGCAATTGGTGAAATGCGGACATTACATAAATTTTTGTTTCATTATAAAAACCCTCACGAATTTAAACAATGGGGGAGGGAGCCGAAAAAAGAACGAAAATCAACGAGGCTGAAAAGGCGAAACCTTGAGGTCAACATTCGATCGGTTGGAGAGTATGTCCGCGAATTCGGCGTCCACTAGAATAGTCTTCCACTTTCCGGCGCCGTGCTTCGCAATTCCGGCCATGAGCGCCTCCTCCTCCTCCGCCGTCCACTTCAGCTTCCGATTCCCCATTTTTGCACCAAATATCACGCATTAATGCGACAAACGAGCGTATCTCGCCGTGAATTGCAATGTTGTAGGGCGCGAGAGTGTCTCTGAGCTTCCTTTCGGCTCGGTGGGACCAACGGTGGAGAAAAGACACGTGTGGTGAGT